GGGGGGGGGGGCAAGGGCAATTGTACGACATTGAAGAAGACAGGGGCTTACGTGCAAAGCCCTCGTAGTGAGACCGAGGTTCGGCGTCCTGGTCGGCCCTGAAGCTGTCCGTGAAGAACACGAGGCTGAGCGCCGGGATGGCCTGAGCGGGGATGCAGGCGAGCGCCTCGGGCGGCGGCGGCGTCCGCTGCTCCATGATGTGGAGGGAGTGGAGGGCGGGCAGTCGCGCCAGAGCCGCCTGCAGAGCGTCCGGCTCCAGGCGCAACGCCGTGAAGCCAAAGCCGAGCCCCAGGTGCTTCAGGCCGGCGAGCCGCACGTCAGCCAGGGCGCGCACCGCCTGGGCTCGGCAGTTTCTGATGTCGAGGCGTTCCAGCGAGCCCTTGCACGACTCCAGCAGCGAGACAATCTGGGCCTATGGAAACGACGCAGACGCAGGGTTTCCACAGGGAACAGCACGGGGCAAAGGTCACTGGTAGGGTGTGCTTGGCAAGGGGTTAGGTCCATACTTGGTGCGTCCCGTCGTAGGTGATCTCGATCCTGAGGTCCTTAAGACCGCGCATTGGCTGCAGCGCCACGGCCGGGATGACGGGTACCGTCACCAACACGCGCAGCCGTTCGAGCCCGCCGGGGCAGTCCAGGAGCGGCAGCAGCGGCAGCAAGTGCGATGACTTCAATTGCAAGAATCGAATCGTTCGACTCAAAGAAAAGAAGAAAAAAAGCAAAAGAAATTACTACTATTCGAGCAGAGCAGTTTTTAGTGTCTCTAGAAGACGACTGTCTCTCCACCGGAAGGCAGAGTACAGCACCATCGCAACGGCTTACTTGTGCGCCAGCAGCAGCGACTGTAGGGCTTGGAGTAAGGTGTGGTCAGGTCCCCGCTGACAAGAGCCGTCGAAGTATTCACCAGTGCTAGCAAAGGACACGTAGCGCAGCCTAGGCAACACATCCATCTGCAGATAGGACAGGGGCGGACTTATACTAGGAGGCTGACTAACCCAGCGCACTTCTGTAGTTATGCAGCACCGCATTCCTACGTCAAGGCGGGTTGCCTACTCGCTCGATCCGTACGGCCCCGTGGACAGTGACGATAGGCAAGCCCGTCCGCACTCGTGCATGCGGTACAGTATACGTACAGGAGAGCGCGGGGTTTATGAGCCACCTGGTACCTGGTTGTACCTACGGTAGAGAGCTGTGGTGCCCTCCCCCGAGCCGGGAAGCACGCCTCACACACTCACCTGGGACCAGCTGAGCAGGCCACATCTAAGGAAATAGGATTCCAAGTCAACCCTGAGTCCTCGTAGGCAGCGGGCGAACCGTAAGCCACGGAGGAGCACCTCCAGGTCCCGATCAAAACCCGAAACCTCCAGGACCTCCAGTCGAGGATTATTAACCCTCTGGATTAACCTGACGCAGCACGCCGCGTCGTAGCCCTCCACTTCCAATGTGGTGAACGCTTTCAGCTCAGCTTTCCTGCATAGAGAGGAATCGATTAGTTGCAGTACGATGCAGATATGCCACCAGTTGTCAGCCTCCGGGGTTCCCACCTGGTGAAGCTCGCTAATTGGACGACAATCATGGGAGAACGGTGCACGGTGAACCTCAACGTGCACACGGGTGGCACCACCTGCAGCAGCACCGACAGTGCGGCGGCGTCCTCGAAGTAGTACCTCCTGTCACACGTCTCTTTCCCGCGCCACAGCGACGCGTGCGCCCTGGTGAGCGCGCCCAGCCTGGGGCTCGCCTGCCCAGCGCGCACCAGGTCCTCCACCGACAAGTGGGAGAGCACCTCCACTAGCGGCACGTCGGGCAGCGACAGGAGCGTCGGCGGGGGCGGCGGCTGCGGGCAGAGTCGCGTGTGAACCGGGCGTGTCCGAGCGAGCACCCCAGTGTTGCGGGTGCGCAGCCTACTGGCTTGCGATGTTACTGACCGGTTCCTCGACTGTGCCCTTCTTAGGCGGAAGTGGAGCAAGGGACGTTTGAGCCCGTTTTCTTGCTCGAGTCAGCATA